GATCCGGAAGTTTCCTTGCTGAATTCGCACAAGATCGTCCAGAGGTTTGAATCGGCATCCACCTTCTTGGATCTGTCATCTTCTTCTATCCTCATGTCATCTTCTTCGGCTTCTCTCGATCTTTCATCTTCCGTCCTTCCACTCGCCAGTCGGATTCTACATGGATTTTAAAGATTCCACAAAATTTTTAAATTCTCCATGGATTCTACAAAAAATCAACCAAACTCTACATGGATTTTACAAATTTTTCAAATCTATTAACATTTTTGAAATCTAAAAAAATCTAATAAAATCCTAATTGAATACACCCCCTAAGTTTTTTTTATTTCTTTTTTTGATTTCATTTTGAATTTATTTTTTAAAATCGCGTATTCTATAAATTCATCACATCTCCAACTCTAATCTCACTCATTTCACTCTTATCTGATTCTCCAACTTGTTATATTTGTTACTCACTCTATTCGTCTCATAATTATGTCCCTTATTTCTTAATTGGGTTGTTTTGAAATTTCCTTCATCTTTCCTTTCAAGGAAACAAAAATGAGGTTCATATCAATTCTCATTCCTCTACACAAATCACACCCACTAATATTTTACTTTTTTTAAAATAATATCAAGTCAAATCGAAAAGATAGTTCCAATCCAGGAGGCAAGGAGTATTTTTTACTCTTATAATTCTTTTTATTTTTGTATTATTTTTTACTATTTTTATTAATAGATAAATATTTTTATTAAATTTACAGAAGAATTGTGTCAAAATAATTAATATTATAAAATAGATGATTAATCTAAAAACAAAGAGGAAAATAATGACGTGACATGAGAGTGTGTACCCATTGTAAAAAAAAAGGATGAGCCCAATTCCCGAGGGTCTCACAAGCTCGATCGGACAGTCACTGAAAGAATGCAAACTAGACTTTAATCGCATATTGATGACAAATAGTGAATCCTGCACATGTACTTGCAGAGATCATGTGTTTATATAGTTGTCTCCCAATACAGTAGTCAGGAATCGAATTCAGATCTTACCCCCTTGATCCTCCATTCCTCCTTGTCTTGCATGCTAACTGTACAATAACATAATGGGCTTGCTAGGCCTATTAGTGAATCAAATTTCAAACTATCAGGATATTTTCTTTGAAAAAATAATTAGTACTGGATCATGAGTAGTCATGATATCATCCACTATAGTCACCTCCGACCAAAAGCAACGCATTGAAGTTGAAAAAAAAAATGATTCCAAAGTGCTGCTCTGTATGGGCAACCCCTTGCTACCTTTATTTTTTTTTTCAACAAAAACACAATGTGTATTTATTTTTGAGCGATAAAATAATGTTTAAAATAGATGGAAAGAAAGGGTAAATTCAAGTATCTTTATGATATTATGACAAATATTTATTCAACATATTTATTTTTTTAAGTAAGAAAATTTAGCTGTTGCTATTAGTGATAAAGTTAATGCATTTTTATTTATTTAATTATTTTTTGAATATGATTCATTTTAATTTTATTTATTAATTTTTGAAAAACGGTAAAAATCAGTTATTTGGTCCGCTAAGTGCCAAAAACCACAATAATGCTTTGGAAGCATTCATTTATTCTTTTCAAAACAAAATATTTTGATATTCTGACAGTAAAAAATTAATTTGTCAATTAATGTATTTGTCTTGATTTATTTAATTGGGATTCTGTGATATAATTTTAAAATTTTAATTCTTAAATTTTAAATGATCACGCGAGAGTTCAAATTTCAAACCTGAGTTGGGATTCCAAATCTAAATTCTCAGGGCGTGTTAAATAATGACAACGAAAAAACAAGGCATTTTGTAATAAGAAATAAAGTTTATCAATTAATATTTTTTTAACAATATTTAACTTTATAGAGAGTAGTATTTAAACAAGAGTTAGAAAATATTAAATTCATAATTTTTTAAATTTATAATTTAAATACTTTAACAGCTATACGCACACACAAATATTGGACAAACAAATGTGGGTATCGAAACAAACTGATTAGACATATATACTCCCTATGTGTTGTTTTTTACTCCGTAAAAGAGTAATGCTAGGGGTACACTTTTTGGTGTACCCCAAATGTACACCACCCTCTTTTCATCCACACATTTTTATTTGATTTTTATTTATTTATTTTATTTGAATTTTTTTGCCCTTTTTAGTGAACAAGAAGGGGGTGAGGAATATTTGGGGTACACCTTTCTAGCATTTTTCTTTTTAAAATTTGTGATAAACACGTTGAGCTTTTGGACAAAATAGCCGTTGTGGAATTGCTGGAAAGTGGGGCCATGCAAGCTAAGAAAAAAAAAAGTCCATCACAAACAACAGTATTACACCCGAGTAATTTGTACAGGATTGGTCGGTTTTGCACTCTTGCTTAACTATTACTCCCTCCATCCCAACAAAAGATGAGCTCATCTCTCAAGATTCACTCATACCTCGCCGGGATGGTCATTGAAAAGAGTTAAATTTGACTTTAATTACATATTAGTGACAAAAAATTGAGCCTATATCTGATACTTGCAGAGACCCTATAATTATAATAATTGTCTTCCAGCGCAGTTGCCAGAAACTGAACTCGAATCTTATCCCTTTCACATTCCTTGTCTTGTCAATTGCGCAATGCCCACCGGCCTCCCTCCATCCCAAACTCTTCATCACATGTGTTTCGACTTTTTGAGATAAAATGAATAAATTTCAAATTTACATTGAATACTAATATTTCTTCCCTTCAAAAATATTTTTTTAATTTAACTTTGTACAAAGATTAAAAAAATTAAAAAGTGTAAGATTTTGTATGTTTGCCTTTGATGTGATGGAATAAAGTGAATAGTATAAATGAAATGGAGAAGTATAATAATTACACATTCAATAAAATTTTGTTGCCAAAATAAGAAACGAAAAAAATTCGAATGAGAAAGAAATTAATGGACGAAGTTAGTATAATAAAATTAATGTTTTATAATTTAAATAAAGCTAAAATTAATTAAATTATTTTTATACAAATTATAGGATTTTACATCGTAATTCCATATTATAAACTAAATATGAATGGAGGGAATAAAATTAAAAAAATTAATTTGAGAGAGGTGTATGAGTATTAGTAAATGATTAAATGACCCTCTCTTGTCTCCACTCCCACTATCATAAATACCTACCCCCCACCATTTCTCCTCACCACTCATTAATTTCCACACCTCTGCTTTAATTAAATTTGTCCCCAACTCAAAGTAGATCACAACAATTCCTCTGTTAATTTAATCAATCGCCATGGCCAAGGAAGTCGAAGCCGCGCCGGAGAAGCCCGCCGGGTTCTCGGCAAAAGACTACCACGACCCGCCGCCGACTCCCCTGCTCGACTTGGACGAGCTCACCAAATGGTCCTTCTACAGAGCCATCATCGCCGAGTTCATCGCCACCCTTCTCTTCCTCTACGTCACCGTCCTGACCGTGATCGGCCACAGCCACCAGACCGACGTCAACGCCGGCGGGGAAGACTGCGGCGGCGCCGGAGTCCTCGGCATCGCGTGGGCCTTCGGGGGCATGATCTTCGTCCTGGTGTACTGCACGGCGGGGATCTCCGGCGGGCACATAAACCCGGCGGTGACGTTCGGGCTGTTCCTGGGGAGGAAGGTGTCGCTGATAAGGGCGGTGCTGTACATGGTGGCGCAGTGCCTGGGGGCGGTGTGTGGGGTGGGGCTGGTGAAGGCGTTCCAGAGGGCGTATTTTGACCGGTACGGCGGAGGGGCGAATGTGTTGGCGGCGGGGTACAATAAGGGGACGGGTCTGGGGGCGGAGATCATCGGGACGTTCGTCTTGGTTTACACCGTCTTCTCCGCCACTGATCCTAAGAGGAACGCCAGAGACTCTCATATCCCTGTAAGTAACACCATGTACTCTAATTTTGCCTGTGGTGAAATAGATATAGAGTCCGTATACGGAATTGATGGAATTGGAATTGAGATTCTATGGGATTTAATTCTATAGAATTAAATTCACCAATTTCAATTCATTTTTGTATTGTCAATTCCAAATCCACATAATTTTTGTGCTACCAAATACTAAAATTGGAATTGAAGTCCTTAATTCCAATTCCATAGTTTGAATTCCGTACGCCAAACGGGACCTTATATTGTGTGTGTTTTTTTGTGCTTATAAGCGAGTCAAAAATAATTTTTTACTTATTTGTCAGTTGTCTGGGTGCCTATAAGCTGACTTATAAGTCAGAAAAAATAATATGTTTTTGTTACTTATTTTAAGTCAATTTACTTATTTCTCCGTTTTGACTAGATTATTTAAAAAACTTTCCCTCACCATTTATGAATATTTACAAACAATTAATTTATTATTTAAGTCATTTTACTTCTACAAAAACAATATTTGATTTCTAAACAGCTTATAGGTTAAAAATGTTTATCTACGATAAGTTAATAAGCACCCCGGTACATAGAAATACCTTCTTTGTGATGGGTTGAATAGATATTATAGGACAGGTTGAATAAGGATAAGCAGGGCTAAATATATGGAGTACTTTTTTTACTCCATTCCTCCCCATAATTAAATGTCATAAAAAATTTGATATTTGAAAATTATGTTTTAAAATAAACTTAATTTTACTAAATTTACATTATAACTAAATATATTTTTCCATAATTCGTGGTTCAAAAATGTCATAGTTTGACCAAAAATATTAAATTGTGACAATTTTTTAGAGACCGATGGAATAATAGGAAATGAAAGTGTTTCACGTAAAGAATGAAAAAATGAAGGTCGAATTATTTTACGGAACGAAGATGTATTTCTATTTACTTCGTCTCAACCTACTCTCCTGGATAAATTATTGTTCTTGTTTCATATAGAAATGATAATAATGCTACTTGGACACCATATTTTTTACACCGATTTATACACCAAAATTTTGCACTAGCACAAAAGTCAAGTGCTAGGTGCATTTTGTTTTGTACCAATGCAAAATTTTGATGCACAAAATGTTACATGTACATAGGGTGCAAGTAGGAGAACTCTAAAAATAAACTAAGACTGCATTTGGTATACAGAATTTAAGCTATTGAATTCATTGGAGACTTCAATTTCAATCATGATGTTTGGTAGCATACAAAAGTATGTTGATTTGGAATTGGTAATGCAAAAAAAATTGGAATCGGAAAATTTAATTGCATCGAATTAAATTCTATAGAATTTCAATTCCGATTCAATTCAAATTTTGTCAAATTCCTATAAAACCTATTGATGAGTGTGTGCTTGTTCCACAATTAACAAAAGATGTCCTATATCTGTTACGTTCTCTTGGAGTAGTTCAACGGTAATGCTTACCCCACCCCATTGGGGCTCAGCCTGACAATGGAGAAAATCTTTTCTTAGTCACAACAAGAAAATAATAATGCTAGGGGATAGACACGGTACAAGTCTGGTTCTGGTGGTGAAATCGTCGATTCCGGTACTCATTTTAAGAGAATCGGAACCAGTACCGTGTAGTGGCGGCTTCTTTCTAAAACGTTTTTGTATAATTTTTTTGAAAATATTTTTGGCAAAATAGTTAAATGCGGACTCCGGACTTTTTTCTTAGTGGTAGATATTATGAATCAACCTCTAACAAATTGAAAATAAGCATTAAAAGCATTAAAAAAAATAAACTTGTGGAGATTCTGATTTCGGTACAAAAAAATTAGAACCTGGACCACGGAAAGTGAAACAATTAGAAATTGTTAGCCACGAAACTTGTAGGAGAAAAATCGTTCTCGAGAAAGTACTAAAGAAATCACCCCAATTAGGAGTAAAACATAGCTAGGGAAAATATAAAAATAAGATCTTTGTGTTTTTATCCTCCAAATATGAGTTTGCACTATAGTAAGGTGTCACTATGTATAGGCATTTCACAATATTTTTTGGTAATTTATATAATCATGATTGACATTGTAAATGCATTTTAACTCTTATTTCGAGAATAAAAATATAAATTACTATTATGATATATTTTAATATTTTACTCCAGTTTTGTTCTTTTTCTCAAAATATTAGCCATGGAAAATTTTTCATAGACGAAAATAGAACCTCTTTTTTAGAATAAACAAACAAGAAAATGTGGAATAGTTTGTGATGGAGATTGGAGAATGTTTATTTTTATTAATCATTAAATAAAATAATGCTCCGTAAGAGTATATATCTTGATATTCTTTGTTCTAGAATATTCTCTTTTTTTAAAAAAATAAAAAAAGAGTATTCTCTTAGTTTTGATTCAAAAAAAAGAATATTCTCTTAGTTTGATTTTCTTGTAAATTCGTTGAAATTTGGTTATTAATTTAAACAAGAATGTATGATTAAACTTGATCGCCAAAAAGATCTTTCTCACCATGGTAAATCCTATCTCACCTTAAAAAAAGAATTGATACCCTTAGGTGAAAAAAAGTACAAGTCTTTACCCCTTTTAGCAGAAAGAGCATTTACCTTGGAAAAAAAATCATATGAGTATGTTAGGGTTTTTAAATGTTACTATCTTTATCCACCATAGATCTTTTCGATCAAATATTATTTACAAGGTTAAATTTAACTCATTTTGTTTACTTATTTTTACTACTAATTTCATAAAATAATACTCTCTCCGTCCCACAAAAAAGTTCCCATTTTGATTATAAATTGGTCAAACAGTTACACTCTTTGACCATAAATTAAATATAATCTAAATAAAGAAATGTTAAAAAAAATTTGAGATATCAAAACTAGATCCTAAGATGAATCCAATTATATTAAATTTATTTTATAATTTAATACTTGTATACTTTTCTCACAATTTGTAGTCAAAGCGCGTAAATATTTGACCAAATACTATTCAAAATGGGAACTTTTTTGTGGGACGGAGGGAGTATAATATTGTTACATCTAGTTTTGTAGATTTTTGTATGTAAATTTTTTATTAGAGTTAGAGTGAGTATATGTTATCTAATTTTTTATTTTATTTCTTTTACTTTTACTTATAATAAAAAAGTGTATTTTATTTCATTTTTTAATTTTTCATTTTTGGTAACACTCTAAAAAAATTATTTTTTTGAAAATTAAAAAAATGAAAAATTTTAGTTTGAGAAAGAGGGCGTATATGTAATATTTTATTTTATTTATTTGTATAACAAAAAATGTAAATAAAAGAGTGAAACTTGAAGATATAGAAATACAAAGGGCAGAAATGTCATTTTATTTCTAAAAATAGGTAAGAGAGAGTGTCTGTGCATTATTTAAAAATCATAGGGGTTTTACAAATAACTTTTGAAAGTAGAAAAGGTTTGACACTTCTTTTGTAAATCACGGGGGCACCAATGCTATTACCCCATTTATTGTCAATTTTGTTTTGAAATTTTTTTAATACGGAGTATAATTTATTACCCCAATGCTATTACTTTGAAATTTTATTAATTTTTTCTAAATCAATATTTAAGTAAATCAATTGAAAAAAATTACTAAAATTTTATTTCGTTTTATATAATGTGGCAAACAACTCCGGGTCTGGAAATATTTTGTTCATGGTGAATTGGTGATGTGATAAGGATTAAGGACCACATTTATTCATTTATTGCATAAATAAATAAAGTGATCATGTGTAATGTCAAATGTGTAATCAATCAATGTACAAAGAATGATAATTATTGGTGCGAAATGAATGAAGGTGCTGGCCCCACTTCCGATCGGGTTCGCGGTGTTTATGGTCCACCTGGCCACCATCCCCATCACCGGCACCGGCATCAACCCGGCGAGGAGCTTCGGCGCCGCCGTCATTTACAACAAGGACAAAGCCTGGAATGACCAGTGGATCTTCTGGGTGGGCCCCTTCGTCGGAGCCGCCGCTGCGGCAATCTACCACCAGTTCATCCTCCGGGCCGCCGCCGTCAAGGCCCTCGGCTCCTTCAGGAGCAACGCCTGATGAGTCCATTCCGTCTTCTGCGAGATTGTTACCGTACTAATTAAAATATTGTTGGGTGGCCCCACGTTGATTTTTTTCTGGTGTTTGGTTTGTATGTATCGATAAGTGTTTCTCTCTCCGGATTATCTCTCCCCAGTCCCCACTTTCTTTTATTTCACTTTGTGTCTCTATTACGTATTACCCCTTGTTTTCTTCTCTATGGACTACAATTTTCCTTAATTTTTTTTGTTACTTGGGCTTAGCTTATTAAGAATTGGCTAAATTTTTTTAAACTTCAATCTATGTTCTTTTTCTTCTTTTTTTTACACTTTTAACTATAAATATGTACATTAAATATATGCAATAAATAGTAGATTTAATTAAAATAGATGAGGATTTAATATCACTCATATTAATATTAGGATTGATAGTATCACTCTCTCATTAGTATTTTTTGTCCTAAAATATGCTGGAAAAATTACTTTTCATGTTGTAATCTATGGCGTCACATGTCTAGTTAGATACGGAGTAACTTAGATTGGGAAAAATAGGCTAAAATTTAACATTTGTAGTGGTGCATGATTGGTCTTTTAAGTTTCAAAAGTACATAAATAGTTTTTTAACTTAATAAGTTGTGCACGATTTGAAGGACCAATAGTGGAGTTTAACCATAAAAATATTGAAATGAAGCAAGTGAAAATTAATTACGTAATTAAAAGGGTAACATTCTGAATGATACAATGCTTTCTGAAAATTAAAGTAAACAAACTTGAAGCTCATTTTTGGTACATAAATTGGGCTTTGGCTCCATTTGGTTCATCATTTTTTCGACGCCTTCCGTGCCATTTCAGTCTTTTTTATTCGTCTGTCTTATGATATTTGATTGATTTTATTTTCAATTCAAATTATTTAATTGTAATTATAAACCTAAAAAATAAAAATTAGATTTTAAAAACTAGATCAAAACTAAATATTTGACTATAGTTTTTTAGTCAAACCTCGGAAAGAACAACATGCGACTCATTTTAAGACGAAGGGAGTACAAAACTAGAAGTGACATATTATATTTTATTATCAAATGAGTAGCGAAAATAAAGAATTAAAATTTGACCATGTAAATAGTGTATGGAAAGATTTAAGTGAGAAGAAAGAATACAATAAAGCTTGGGTTACCCTAGCTAGCGGCCTAGCATCATCTTTTTAAAATAAGATTTTTAGAGTTCTATTGGCTATGTTACAATGTGGTATTTGTTCGTATATTTGTTAACGTATCTGGCTCTGCTAGGGCTTGAGCCTGTATAAACTCCCCAATGAATCTTAGAGAGTGGATTTCCTATCCCTCAAGCCTGGGGAGAATTTTTTTCAATGAATTAAATTTCTTCAATTCTTGGTTCTAACTTATCATTTTTATTTATTTTCAGACTAAAATAAAACAAGAACCAGTTTAGTGCACATTAAGTACTTGAAACGGCCTAACGGGTGTCCATGCTAGAGATGAACAAAAGGATCGATGCGGTCAGACTAGACTTGTCTTTGGAAAAGACTGCTACAGTAAAGGATTGGACTGAACTAGTCTTTCTAAAAACCCGGTCCTAACTAGTCTGGTCTTCTTATCAAAATCAAAGACCAAATAAGACCAGTAGTCCAATCAGTCTGATCGGTAGTCTAATCTGGTCCGGTATCTAGTCCCAACATATTGGCTCAAGATTGCAATTTGCGATGTTGTGTCAGGGTTACCAAATAGTCCATCAACTCTTTTTGCATCGGTCGAGATTGCATGTTGCACTTCGATCGCTCAATCACTAATTCTCTAGGGACATCTCTATAGACTAACTCTACTGCTCTAGAACAGAGTATTGTGACGTTTGAGTTTATCTTGAAACTCTAATAAAATGCTTAGGAGATATGGGAAGCCGAGAAGTATTAATCATTTCTAATTTGTATTACTGTATATTATATTTTTAAGACTTTTATACATACTACTACGTATATATTACTCCATATATACTTCGTAATTTACAAGTAATATAATTAGACTCTAGAGAACTAGTTTTTTGGCTAGTCCTAGTCTTAAGACCAATCTTTTATTAGTTTTGAATCGGTTCATGTCCTCAACATGTCTTTTATTAGTTTTAGACTAGTCATAGTTCACTATAAATATTAAAGAACATTTGAGACTATTGGTCTTGGACTAGACTAGTCTCAAGGACTACTTTGGTCCCAATCTTTTAAGTCAAAATTCTAGTCAGTCTTGGTCAATATTTTCGGTTCCACTCTTTATGCTCTTCTCTAGTCCATGCATACCAGTCATTATTAGGGGTGACTACTGAGCAAGTACCAAAATGATTCGAAATTTTCCAAAATCCCACTAAAATTGAACCAAAAGATACTAAACAAAAAACATGCAGAAGAAAATCCAATCAAACAATTAATTTGGTATTTTCCAAAATCCCACTATATCATTATTTATTTCTCTTTTCTTTCTTTTTTTTTTTAAAAATTTTGGGTAGGTATTTTGAGCAGCCTCAAAAAAAGAAAGAGGCTGGGCGAGGGTACCCATTGTAAATGCCCTTACCCCTTTGCCTGTCATATGAGTCTTATCCGATCATTTGCCGTTCTACGGATATCTATGAACTGGGATTTAACCGGATCGCTTGGGCTTCACTTCGACGGTAGTCGCCGATTAGCTTACTTCAGGCGCTAATTTTCTCAAGATCTATTCTGTTCAGTTAGTTCCTTCTCTTTCTGCAGTTGTTAATTGCATTTCAATTGAATAATGGCAACTAATCATTGCTTTACTTGTAAGTGTTTAATTTCTACATTGGCCTTAATTTGTGTAATACTAATCATTTTTTTTTTAAATTCGCAGTAGAAAACAATTGTTTAGAATTTAATTGTTTTTTTTTTTATTGGAATTAAGATTTATTGGATTTCAGGTAGAAGGTGGGGCTCAATCATGGCTGATGTTTCAAGCTCTGTGTTGAGGATGGAGGAGATAGCCGGGAAAGGGAGAGGCCTAGTTGCAGCACAGCCTCTCAAGGCAGGCCAAACGGTCCTTACTGAATCCCCTCTCGTCCTCTACTCAGCCTCCCCTCTCTTCGCCTCGCCCGCCGTCGCCCACTGCGACCGTTGCTTCAGAACCGTAGCGTCCGATGCCGTCCCGTGCCCGTCTTGCCCCACCCACCGTTTCTGCTCCCCCAAGTGCCTCTCCCTTGCACTCGCGTCCTCGCACTCCGCTTGGGCGTGCAGAGCGCTGTCCTCTCTCGCCCAGCATCCCCATTGTTCGTCGATGCTTCAAGAGCACCCACCGGAGCGCCAAGTCCAGGCCCGTTTCGTTGTTGCGGCCCAGAGCCTTGTCCTTCGGTCCCCTTCACAGCTTCACACGTTGCTCTCGCTTCACGGCACTCCGGATGGTTCCCTTGTCCGGGCTGCTCGGTTTCTTCACTCTCTGTTATCTCTGGTGTGCGAGCTTGAACTCTCCGTTGATCTCACTGCGCAGCTTCTGGCTAAGGACAGGCTCAACTCGTTTTGCTTGATGGCTCCCTATTCGCCAGATGGGCCTCAGAGATCCATCAGGGCGTATGCCATTTACCCCAAATCGACCTTCTTCAACCACAGCTGCGTTCCCAACGCGTGCAGGCACGTGTTTCCGATGGTTTTATGCTTGAGAAATTTACGTAAAAAAAGGACTAAAACATAATGACTTTCCCAATATAGGACCATACGTTTCTCTTTCCCAATGTAGGACCCTTGGTCATTATCAATTAGTCATTATTCAAGTAAATGTCCATCATTACTGGACATTATTCTTCCCACTAGACATTATTAAGTCCTATTTAGGAAATAAAAAAGTTTAGGTCCTACATTGGGAAATGACTTATGTTTTAGTCCTATTTAGTGCAAATTTCACTTTATGCTTCATCGCCCCTCTAATCAAACTAACATTGTATTAAACGTATCCGTACATTGTTCTCTACAGGTTTGACTACGTGGACAAACACGACACGAACATTGTTTTTAGGATGATTGTGGATGTTGCGGAGGGGGAAGAGGTCTGCATCAGCTACTTCAGGATTAACAAGGACTATTGTACAAGGAAGAGGATCTTGATGGAGGATTACGGGTTCGCTTGCGAGTGCGATAGGTGCAATTGGGAGGGTGGAGGAGAGGAGAGGAGCGGTGACGCGCCACACGTGGGGTTCCTTAGCAAGTACGTGTGTGGGAGGAAGAATTGCGCGGGCACTTTGGCTCCAAAGGATGGCGATGGTCTTCCCCCTCGTCTTCTGGAGTGCAACTTTTGTGGTGATTTGAAAATTGATGCTGATGAACACTAGCCAACACCAATGGAATGGTTATACTATGTGTTATACTAGCCAGTCTATTTAACACCAAAGTAACTGGCAATAGTGTTTCCTCTGGATTATATCAGTTGGTTCATTGTGTGTTGCGACTCTAGCACAAAAAGTTCATCAGTATGCACCGTTTGTTCATATTCGTTTGGCCATGTCCAATTAGGTCTTAAGTTTTTTTTTTTTAAAGTGGGCACTATTGAAATTTAAGTACGCAGATTCTTACTCTCAAACTTCAAAAGGTCAAAGTCCCTTTTGTTGGTAAATGATACCCCATTGACTCCCCAAATATTTCAATCGCAGTGTTATGAGTAGGTTAGAAAACTATTGTACAAGACTACTAATAATACTATATTCACACATTTGATCGGTATTTGCACTGGAGTACTCCCTTTGCCTTAGAAATATTTTTTTATTTCGATTTACTAGATTTAACTAAAGTTAATCGCTATAATGTATACTCAGGCAGCGTATTTTTCGATACAGGGTACAACATGAGTTAATTGACCCAATATAGGACCGGTTAACCATCCAGATGAGTAGAAACAAGACGTCATTTGGAACCCACCTTGTTACTCACAAGATTTATTTATTTATTTAGAAAAGTCCTTTGACGCGGTTCTAGATTTGCAGGCAATTGTATTCTCTCTTATTTATGTAGAAAAGTCCTTTTCTACCTTCACAAAACGAGTGCACTTTTGAAATAAAGTAAGAAATATAACAAGACACGAGAGATGCTCGGTCCAAGTCATATGCTCGTAAGTCATACTTTGTGTGTTCTTTACTTTCTTGCTTATTTACTTACTCGGTAGAGTTTCCCTACTCCGGTCATATTTTTTCTATTTGGTGAAATTTATCTATCAAAAATTATTTTTAATTCAATTTATTTTATTATAAGTATAAAATTTAGAAAATAAAATTTATACATTTAAAGTTTATATATAAAATTTACCTTGCTACATCACCATTCACCAATTATACTCCGAAGTTCATTTCTTTTTCATGGGGGGAGAACGACACTGTTTATCTTTTTGTACGGAGTACTCTGTAGTCAGTGGTGTCTTTCTTGTGTGCCCGGTCTGCCCTGTATCTGTATTTGGACTTTGGAATAGTTCGGGTTGGATCTTGGGCTGACAGACTCCATAGCCGATCTTGCTCCGATCTCCTACAGCGAAGACCGAGTCGACTCGCCATTCTAGATGGTTCCGTGTCGACTCACTCTCCTCCTCACTCTCTCCTCTCTGCTCATCCTCTCCTTGTTAGCATCTCATCCTCTGGCCAAAACCGCCGCCGTGGACGACGACGACGACGAAGATCTCAGCTTTCTCGAGTCCGACGACGAAAACGACGAGCCGTCGAAACCCTCCCACCTGTCGGACCCTCAATTCGGAAGTGACGACGAATTCGAGGACGATGTAGAAGACGAGGACGACGAGGACGATTTCGACAGCTACAGCGACTTTGATGATCCGCAGGGGCTCGGTGACGAGCAGGACGAGGACGACGGGCCGAAGGTGGACGAGAAGGATGTGGTTGTCTTGACGGATGGAAACTTCAGCGATTTCGTGGAGAGTAACAAGTATGTGATGGTGGAGTTCTACGCTCCCTGGTGCACTCACTGCAAGGGTCTCAAGCCGGAATATGCCTCCGCCGCCACCGAGCTGAAATCGGAGAATGTGGCTCTTGCTAAGGTAGATGCCACCAAGGAACCCGAGCTCGCCGAGAACTACGAGGTCCAGGGTTTCCCTACTGTTTTCTTCTTTGATGACGGCGAGCATAAACCCTACAATGGCCAGCGAACCAAGTAAGTCTCTCCCCCATTTCTTGGGGAAAGTAAATAGATTGCTATGAGTCCATTTGTAAGGTTTTACTTGCTAGTTAATTGTATTGGATTCCATTTTAAGCCTTTCTGGCCATATGTACATGTACACATTCAAACACGTTTCTTTGGTTTTTTATGCAAGCCTTGTTGCTTATTGGTCCTATGACTCTTATATGTAGTGTGCCTGGTGAAATGGAATGATTCTTTCCAGTTTTCTCTCTGTTTTGTTGCTCTGGTCTTTCTAATTGCATTTAAGCCTTGAAAGCTGACGGTAAGCACCACGTGCAGGGATGCCATTGTGAATTGGATCAAGAAGAGGATTGGGCCGGGGGTATATAATGTAACCTCAACTGAGGATGCGGAACGAATATTAGCAGCTGAAAACAAATTTGTTGCGGGATTCCTTGATTCTTTGGTGGTATGTTTTATACTTGTCTGGATGCTGGTCCTTATGGTATACAATAATATCTTTAGTATGAGATGCATGAGGATTTCCATCTTTTAGATGCTGAAAGATTGCATCTTTTTTCGGTGCCTTTGGCTCTCTGACGTACCCTCTTCCTGTCTGTGCCTCAACATTTACAGGGTCTTGCAAGTGAGGAGTTTGCTGCTGCTTCAAAATTAGAGGATGATATTAACTTTTATCAGACAGATGATCCTAATGTCGCTAAACTTTTCCACTTGGAGCCCAATGTGGAACGACCCACATTGGTCATGCTTAAGAAGGAAGAGGAAAAAGTTGCCCTTTATGGTTAGTTTATGTTTTTGTTGTAATTTTCCTTCATTTGGATAGGACTATTAAGATTGAATCGTTTTTAGTCTACAAGCTCTTGAATCTTATAGAAGAGGATATGGCAGTTGACTCATGAGTATTATCTCACATTCTCTGCAGATGGTGTCTTCACAAAATCTGGTATAGTTGCATTTGTTTCTGCTAACAAGCTTCCATTGGTGACACCATTTACCCGCGAAAGCGGACCTTTAATATTTGGAAGTCCAATTAAGAAACAGGTAATATAGGCTTTATAGGATTTCAGACTAAGTTTTAATTGTGACCTTCAAGTGCAGCTATATCTTTCTTATGAATGATTACAGACAGCATAAATTAGGTCGCATATTGTACTGACTCACACCGTTGTTTCCTCAGGTGATGCTATTTACCACAGCAGATGATAAGGACAAGTTCTTCCCTATCTTCCAAGATGCTGCAAAGTTCTTCAAAGGAAAGGTACTTGACAAAAATAGAAACTTTATTAAAGAAAAAAAAGCGCCATCATTTCGTTGTTGCATATTATTTTTAATAAATCTCTTTTCTGTTTAACAAAAAAAACCATAAACTGCTTTCAAGCTATCTATATTATCCAAAATGGTATATTTGTTTCACTTTTCACGTTTTTGATGAGTTTCTATGATGTTGACAACTGTGGAACACGTAACTAAAAATTCTAGAACTAACACCATTCATTTTATAATGTGTGTTTTCCTATCTTAATTCAGCTTTTATTTGTATATATCGAAATGGACGACAAAGATGTTGGAGAGCCAGTGGCAGAATATTTTGGAGTTGGCGGGGACGCTGCAAAGGTAACACCTCTCATAAAACTATCATTTTTTCCCTCTTTTGTTCCAAGATTGATAAGGGAAGAACAAAAAGAGTTGGTAAGATTGTGGCTCTAATGTCATGTTCTTTATTATCGTAGGTACTTGGATACTCAGGAAATGATGATGCTAAGAAATACATCTTCGACCAAGAGATTACACTTGAGAACATTAAGGTTAGGTTCTTTGATCAGCATTTCATTTGCTTCTGCTCCCAATGTATATGCTCCGTATTTATCTCTGGCCTTTCATTTCCATCAGGGATTTGCTTCTGATTTTGTGGACAGCAAGCTTAAACCTTTCTACAAATCAGATCCTATTCCCGAGACCGTAAGTTTTCATAAAAAAACTGCTGTTGGGGACTTGGGGCGTTGGTCTCCAATTTAGTGCCGCTTATCTGTCTCTCTCGTGCAGAATGAAGGGGACGTGAAAATAGTTGTGGGGAATAATTTTGAAGACGTGGTCTTGGATGCGTCAAAAGATGTCCTCCTTGAGGCATGGTCAAATCTCACTTCTTGATGCTTCCATTTGTTGGCTTGGTACATAAACTAATATACACTCTAATTTTCCTATAGATCTATGCACCGTGGTGCGGACATTGCCAAGCTCTAGAGCCAACATACAACAAGCTTGCCAAGCACCTACGTGACATCGAGTCTATTGTCGTTGCTAAAATGGATGGAACTACAAACGAACACCCCAAAGCTAAGGTATAAGAAATTTGTTGTGTTTAAAAGATGCTAATACAAACATGATCTCTTTTTGGATGGATGGAAGGAATAAAAACATGTTTCTGATAATTGAATGTTTGTTGCAGGCAGAAGGATATCCCACCCTCCTTTTCTTTCCTGCTGGAAATAAGTCTTCTGATCCAGTATGTGTTGTTTGGTTATCTTTAGGGGTAGTTTGGTGATGACCATAATGCCCTTTTTGGTTGTTTGTTTGAATTGAACTAATTTGCTGCCTGTTGTGGCAGATTCGCGTGGACTCCGACAGGACGGTAGTGGCATTGTACAAGTTCATCAAGAAACACGCCGCTGTCCCCTTCAAACTCCAGAACCCGTCAACCTCTAACACCGCCACGCCTCAGAAGACCGGAGACATCAAAGGCTTCGATACGAATTTTAATGATGAATTATGAACATAGCAATTGTATCATCAGATATATATAGGTAAAGGATCATGCGTGACATTAACTTTTTAATATGTAATGTTTTTGACCAAATCATTTTACCCACAATCATCCATTTAATGTTTTCTCTTGGATTGAGTGGCGCCAAATCCACACAATTTTTTGTAGGCCTACAACTAATTAAGGATGGCAATTTAAACAAAAACAAATTCTAGTGAATATTTAAAAAAATAAAAAAAATGCTTTCACCCCTCTTGAATAATATCATTCCAAGCCTTATCCCTTCTTGCATGACTATTTATCGATCTCATAATTGGTACATAGAACTTTTGAACGTGAAAGCAGAACTCCTTTAGCTTTATTAATAGAGTTTTTTTTGGATAAGAATTAAAAAATATCAATTTTCTCAAATAGAACACTTTCGTTTTCTTGCCAAATACTCCGTAGTATTTAAATAACTAAATAGTTATTTCGTAATATTGATGCAAATGTACACATATGCCCTTTTTCAAAATACTCACTCTGTTTTGGAATTATCTTCTGGGCTTAACTTGATAAGATTTTTATTAAAGTTGAATGTGGATGATTGTTGTTTAAAAAGAAAAAAGAAGAAATTTTTTAAACCCTGATCATAACTCTTTATTTATGTTCATCATGTCCCACTATTTTCTGTCAGAGCCATCTATATGATTATAATCTTTTCAAATAAATTTAATTTGAAACAACTTTAACCAAATATTTTAAATCATAAATTAAGTTTTTTTTGGTAGGGGGAGTTTTACAGTTATTACATGATTTTTTAAACAAACTTGAACAACTAATTCAATTGGTAAACTTGTGAATCAGTACTATTATGATTGGTAGGCTATGACTTTATTGGTCTAAAACATCATAAAAAGTATTCTGTACAACACAATGAAATTTTTGGTCCATTGGGCCTGTTTCATTGCCACCGACAATATTTCCACTAGCTTTTTGGAATGCTTGCGGTGTTCCATTCACAAAATTAATCGTTCCTAACTTCTTACTATTCTAACCCCACCCAAGCCCCACCTATGTCCTCCACCCAAGCCACCTTGTCCCCCTCATAACGTGTCATGATTTGGAAGGAGGCATGGGCTAGCTAGGGGAATGAGATAAAATTTAAAAGGTTGAGGATAAAAACCATCTATTTTGGGAATGAAGCATCGACAACGAAACCATAACCGCGTTAGGTACTTCGTAATTTTAAGTTAGAAATTGTGCTTCCATGATCCCAAAATATACATATGAAATGTGATATTGTCACATTTTTTCTTGGAATTCAAGACCATGAAAAAATTTACCTCAACACCACTAATCCATTTCTTTTTTTATCATGACTCTTTAAATTTAATGGTTTACAAATAGTGAAATTTGCACTAAATAGGACTAAAACATAATGACTTTTCTAATGTAGGACTTAAACTTTTGTATTCCTTAAATAGGACTTAATAATGACCTAGTGGGAGGATTAATGTCCAGTAATGATGGACATTACTTGAATAATGACTACTTCATAATGACCAAAGGTCCTACATTGGGAAATAAAAACATATGGTCCTATATTGAGAAAGTCATTATATTTTAGTCATATTTATGTAAATTACTCTTACAAATAAACATAAACATGGGAAAAAAAAACCGAAGAAGGGGTGAAGCCGCAATCCGACTTAGATGAAGATACTCCCCCCTCTCATTCATCGAATGCGGAGGATCCGGAAATCTGGAATATACTCCGTATATATTTGTAGCGCTTTCCAAACGGACGCGAACGTGGATTATTGTCATTCTCTGTACAAATATATTCACTGCCGTATAATTCTCCTCATCCTGGGCCGGGTAGATCCACTCCGCGTCTTCTTCCCCACGCATCTCTCCATATTCTCCTCCTCCTCTGGTTCCATCTCTCTCTCTTTTCATTTTAGTTTTTTATTTTTCAAATTTAACTGTTTCCTCAATTTTAACCGCTCTATGATGGCTGCAATAATCGTCAATTTGTCTTCAGATCTCTCTGGATTTTGAGTTTCAATCATATCTCTAATCATTTGCTGTTTCAATTCTCACTTGCACTTGCAGATCCGTAACTGTCTCTGGCAATGGCCGCTCTTCCGACGCTCCTAATCGCAGTTCTCGTCGCGCATCTCTGCAATCTGCACGCTCTCGCAGCGCATTCGCCGGCTCCGGCTCCGGCTCCACAATCCGGACCACACGCCGATTCTCCGCCGCCTGTTTTCCGGTCTCCGTCGCCTTCGCCAAGCGACGCCGCAGATCGCGCTCCTCCGGCGCCTCCTCCGCTAAAATTCGACGTTTCTGCGTCGCCGGCTCTGGCACCTGATCCGGATGCGGTGAATGACGTGAGCCACGCGGACGTGGAAGAGGCGAGTGGAACTACCGGCGGTGGAATGAGCAGAGGGAGGAAGGCTGGCATCGCCGTTGGAGTGATCGCCGGCGCGTGTGTCGTGGGGATCGGCGCCGTCGTTTACAAGAAGCGTCAGCGGAACATTCTTCGATCGCGGTACGGGTACGGCGGCGAGAGGGAGATGGTGTAAGGTTCGTACGAGACTACGAGTTGGGGAAATTGAAAAATCACTTTCATATGCATTTACCAAAGGGCACACAAATACTGTATTTGAAATTTACGGAGCAGTACTATTTTGGAACTTGGGAAGGGCGATGATTTGCAGTACCGTTCGTTATTGACTTTCGAGTCTTTGACTGAACTTTTTACTCACTTCTCGTACGGTTTATTTTTTTAGAGTAAATTGCATAATTGGTCCTTTATATTATGGAGGTTTCCCTATTTAATCTTCTATTATCAAATATTATTCCTGTAGTCCTTTTTAAAAGGTGTTTTTTCACAAAAGGTCCTTTTTTGATCTTCTGCCATGTTGGTGTTTATTTAAAGAAATATTTGCACTAAATAGCACTAAAACTTACTCCCTCCGTCCGCCTAAGATGTTCTCATTTTGACTTTTGGTGGTTTTTAAGGAGAGTTGAAAAAGGTGAAAGTTTACCATAATATCCTTAATGAAAAATGGGTGGAGTGTATTAAATGAGGTGGGTGAGGTGTAATAAATAAAGTAAGTGGGAGCAGTTGTGGTATTTTACTTGTTAAAAAATGAAATAAGAAGATCTATTGTGGACAAAGAAAAAGGGCTATTGGGAAGATCTATGGGGGATAGAGGGAGTAAGTCATTTCTCTAAATAGCACTTAAATTGTTTTATTTTCTAAGTAGCACTTAATAGTGTCCATAATGACTTGTGATGGCAAACATTTACTTGCATAATGACTAATGGATAATGACTAAAGTGCTACATTGGGGAAAAAAACACATGTAGTGCTATTTAGGGAAAGTCATTATGTTTTAGTGCTATTTACGGAAATTCCTCAACACAAAAATAATGACTATGATTGTGGGCTAGAATTCCGAAGAAAGACCACATTTGTAGACTATGGTTGTAGTAGAAAGCGACTGTAATTCACAAACGACGCAAATGGAACAGCCTTTGGAATTGTGTATGACAAAAAAGATATATTATCATTGTGAAATTACACTTTTAGCTCTCAAAGTAACACCAACATAATTGATTGAAGATCAAAAAAAGGACTATTTGTGGAAAGATACTCATAAAAGAAAGACCACTGAGTAATATTTGATAATAGATGACTAAATAGGGAAACTCCCCTGTTATAAAGGACCAATTATAGAATTTACTCTTTTTTTATGAGTAATGTTTCACAGTGGTGGTTCGGTTTTCAACAAAATCAAAGACCAAGCCGAAGGTAAATTGGGGGTTCGATTTAGTTCTGCATAAAAATATGTAAATCGTCGATTATTCGGTTTGGGTTTATGTGGTGTTTTCGGTTTATAAAAATAAAAATTTATAAGCATTAAAGAGTTATAAAACTACTAATTGGATGAGGAAATATGTAGGGTTCAATTTTTTAGTTTGATTTTTACACAAAATCAAAATCGAACGGAAGATTAGTGTTCTGTATGGTCCAATTATACAAAAAAATATGTCGAATACCCAACAAACATTGAGGAGATTCTAAAAGTTTGTGTTTTTTTGGTATAATAATTTCATTTCGATTATAACATCAATGTTTTTTATGTAAATATGTATATTACTCGTATCATTTTTTAATGTTAATATAATTTTGTATTGGAATTAGTTATTAGTGTTTATTAGAGTTCATAAAACAAAGATGAATCTTAGATCCATTGAAGAATTTGTCTTTTTTGTTAACCTTGAAGGATGATCCGGGGAGCGCTCCGGTGCCTCGTTCGTAAAATTGATGATTCTTACCCCCCGGTAAACCCCACACTCGCTCCGACCCGAACACACCTCCACCGCCTTCAATTGCACCCACAAGTTGGTTTTGACTCTGGAGTCAAATTTTTACTCCAAAGTCAAAATCAACTTGTAGTGTACAATTGAAAGAGGTGGGGGGGGTGTCTGGGTCAGGGCGGGGTAAGGGTAGGAACCGTTAATTTTTACGAATGAGACACCGGAGCGCTCCGGGTCATCCGGGTCATCCCATGATATTGCCAGGCAATAGCATGGGAACCTTAGTGTATATTAAAATGTAGTATCTGATTTGTAAACAAGTAATCTCTGTCACAAGCAGGTTATCAATGTTTGTGCACGTATAGATATTAAGAGTTTGTTGTAGGGGTGAGCAAGTACCGAACCGATACCGAAATTTCCCGAAAAAATTGAGAATACCGAACCGAAAAAGTACCGAGAAGGAACCGAACCGTACCGAACCGAATGGCCGGTACGGTATTCGGGAATGGTACGAGGTGACGTCCCATACCGGAAATCCCGTACCGAACTTATATACTAAAATATTATAAAAAATAATACCTCGGAGTAATATTTTTATATTCTTTCACTAAATAAAAATTGTTTTAAAAAAAAATTGGTTCAAGTTCTATGATGTGTAATTTATACTTTTATTTGAGTTTTAATTTTTGTGTATGAACATAAAAGTATTCACAAAGATTCGAAATACTCCTTTGTTGTCATTCATTTTTTTAGTTTGTGAAATTTTATAAACTAAGTTTTGATGCGCATCTCTTGCATTTAAATATTCATTTTTTTTAATTTTTCATATTTTTTTAAATTCACTTTTAATTTCCAAAAATAAAGGGGTATTATTAAATTTTAACTTGTAAAGTAGGAATGTATATTTATCTCGATTTGTACCGAAACTGATATCGAACCATCCCAAACCATACCGAACTGATATTTCGGGATCGGGATCGGTACGAAGTAAAATCTCATACCGAACCGAAATATTTGGTACGGTATCAGTACGAGCTAAATATCATACCATATCGTACCATGCTCACCCCTAGTTTGTTGTGTCTGTAAATAGGTAGTATACAAATGGGTATCCTTGTATTGTACCCTTAGCATTACCCAAAATTTTTTCAATATCTATTTTATACACGCGCTCTTAAATTTATGGAGTATATTAGTAAGAAGGAATATGCTAGGGGTACACCAAAGTTGTACCCCAAATGTACACCACTTGCCCCTACACCATTTATTTTAGTTTCTTTTTATTTTTTTTTTTTAAAATTTCCTTACCTTTTTTGTGTGGTGATGGAGGGGGTGTGGGATGTTTGGGGTACACTTTTGGTGTACCTCTAGCATTTTCCTAATAAGAATGCTTTGATAGTAAAATTCCAATATGATACTCTCTCCATCATATTCGAAAAATGTACAAAATTCCACAAATGTTAAAATAATATTATTCATAAGTTAGCGCACCTACAAAAAGCCTTGTGTTTATCACTCTTATTCTCATATTTTCATTTTATTTTACTTATGTTTAATTAGTTCTACCTTAGAGCGAGCTGGGTGGGGTTAGATTAAAGGGGGTTAGGAGCAAGGTTGGGTGGGCGTTTGCATGAAAGGTTAGATGTGGTAGGAATCATTTCGAGATCGAATAGAGCATTGTAACATGATCACATGTCATAATATGATTCTCAAATTGAGTGTCAGAATAATTTGATTGTATTATTATTACTTCCATGCTCTCGAAAAAATATTCTAGTTTTACTTGATAATGCGTATAAGAAAAATGAAATTGAATAATTGAAAATGATATGGATGAGATAAATAATAAAAGGCACAAAAAATTTATTATGCAAAGTTTGGTTCAAGAAATTTGAAAATAAAAAGAAAATTATTTGAAAAATAATTTTTCTTGTTTGATTAAAAAGGAAAAGAAAAGTATAAGGAAAACTGACAAAATTTTAAAAGAGGATGAAAAACAAAATTTCTTACATTCGGATAGAAAAGTAAGAAAAAATTATTTTTTCTTTGTTACTTTGTTGAACTGAACACTGTGTAAAAAAATGACATTTATTTTTATGATGAATAAAAAAAGAAATGTAAATGTTAAAAAAAAGGAGGGAGGTTTTATTATTAATGTGGTTGTTTTTTCCTTTCTCCATTGGAAAAAAGTACCGAACCCCAAGGCCGCAACCTCATTCTCTCTCTCTCACACACATACGGAGTATTTTTTCGGTAAAATAAAATGCTCGCCGGGAATCATCTCTGACATGTTTTCCGGTTATGTATCTCCAGAATTGGATCTTGTCGCTATCTTTTCTCCGGTGAAAACTTATATGTCCGATCATCTTCATCTCTTACGCATCTGACCGGGAGAGCAGTGTCAGATTCTCAGGTGCGATCCGGATTTCTCTCAATTGCGGCTCGGATCCAAACCTTTCTTTTCCAGTACGCTTCAAAATTTCAGTTGAATCACTTCTCTTATCCGCGCAATACTTTGTTTTTTTCCCATCATTTCAGGCAATGATCATTTGAGGCTCTTTGGGCCATTCGGTAAGAAACGCGGATTGAAAATGAAGGTTCGAAAGTTTAAACCCGTGTTCAGAATGATTAAATTTATCTAAATCCATATAGGAAGTCTTGAATATAGTTTGATTTTATATGGATCAAGGTTAGCTAACAATTGATCTGGGGAAATGGATGGGGAATTGCTGTACCATTAGAAACAGTTACTGAAGTGTTAAGAATTGCCTCTTTTTGGTTGTCTTAGCTGAAGTACTTTTGGAAAAATGGGGCTTGAAACACATGAAACTAAGAAATTGCTTGTCTCTTGTTCTAACAAGATCAATAAATCCTCAATTGGTCATTCATATCTGGAGCATGATGATAAACATGCTTTGGAAATGAGATCTGGTGAAGTCGATGATGGTTGCTTTAAGTTAGGATCAAATGACTCTCTCCTCCCCGGTCTACATAATGACGTAGCATTGACATGTCTAGCTCGGACTTGTAGATCAGATTATGCTTCACTGTCTTGCTTAAACACAAGGTTCAATTCAGTGATTAAAAGTGGTTATCTGTATGAGTTACGAAGACAATTGGGAATCATTGAACATTGGGTTTACATGGTTGCTGACCCAAGGGGTTGGGAAGCTTTTGATCCGTTTAGAAATAAATGGTTCCGCTTGCCTAAAATACCATGTGATGAGTGTTTTAACTATGCGGATAAGGAGTCGTTAGCTGTGGGAAGTGAGTTGCTTGTTTTCGGTCGTGAATTGTTTGATTTTGCTATTTGGAAGTACAATTTAGTCGGGCATTATTGGATCAAGTGTGACGTGATGAATCATCCACGTTGCTTGTTTGCATCCGCTAGTATTGGATCAATTGCAATTGTTGCAGGGGGAAGTGACAAGGATGGGAAAGTACTTAGTTCTGCAGAGCTTTATGATTCATCGACCGGTAAATGGGAGATATTACCCAACATGCACTCTCCGCGTCGGTTATGTTCTGGTTTCTTCATGCATGGAAAATTCTATGTGATCGGTGGGATGACAAGTGTCACTGACTCATTGAGTTGTGGGGAGGAGTTTGATCTAAAGACAAGGAAGTGGAGAAAAATAGAGG